TATGCATTGCGAGTGTGGCAGAGATCAGTGAACTTTGCTTCACTGTATTTCGTACGAGATGCCTCCTATCGGTACTTCTCTTGGGATGTCACTCACCGCTCAATTAGGAAGGTCAACCAACCAGAAGCTACCATGTTTTTAAAACCGCAATATCCGTTTCACTTAGCCGCATTTAATTTCTTCACACTCTGTCAAACCGATCAACGAACAGCCTTAGCTAGGACCCTTGAGACTTTCAATTTAAATGTAACACGCTTTCAAGACCCTACTTTAACCATCACCTTGCGACCTCCAGATTCAACCTCATCCTCCTGTTTCACTCTCTGTATGCCAGATTATTCGGCATTCGAAGCTCGGGGTGTTGCTGGTATCGGCATTGCGCTAACTGTCAAGGTCGAGCGTCATTTCTTCACTGCATTCCGGTTAGTAGCCGACTGTGCGTCGTACGTCTGTTTAGTCCTGGTCAACAGCTACAGATTGAAGCGTCGGTGCTCATTCGTCGTATCCGTCTATGCACCGACTGATTGCAGTTCGCCAGAAATAACGCATTAATTCTACAAGAACCTCCCTCAACTTTTACAAAGTGCTCGTAGTAGTCGCTGGAATTTTGAATGCTCAAGTGGGATCTCTGGATGAATCAGAAAAGGTTCTTGGTGGTACACAAAATTCTAGCCAACCGGACGGACAACAGGGAATGTCTACTTTATGCTAACCAAGAACTGTTCCTTTCAAGCACAAACTTCTAGCACAAGAAACTACAGCGTTTTACATGGAAATCACCTACCTCTTGACAATGATGAACCCAAATCGATTACATCTTCATCAGATACCGCTGGCAAAGATCCATTGAGGACTGCCGCTCTCACTGGTCAACACCCGTGGACACGGACCATGCTCTGATACGAGCCAGATTTTCCCTACGTCTAGCAAACAACCATAGAAAAGACACCGAAAACGGGTGCCTACAATACAACGTCAGCGGTGGTTGCGAATCGACTTTCGAAGTGGAACTCCCTGACCGACTTTCAACTCCACCATTAGCCAAAGGAGTCGGGGAACACTGGATGATAATCAAGGAAGCGATCCAAATGCCTATCAAAGCAACGACGGATTCTGGCGCACAATCAAATCAAAATCGAGGGATCTCGTTGGCCTAGGCTACCTTGCTAGACGCTCACAAAGCTATTCCTTCTGATACCAAATATGATGAAATACGCAAATCTCTTAAGCGCCAGCTCATCAAGAGTCTGAGGAATGACCGCGAGAAGTGGTGGATAGGGAAGTGTGGAGAAATGGAGAAGGCTGCGGCTATCGGTAATAGTCGCAATCTTTTTCGTTTCATTAGGAGCACAGGCTCGAGGAAAGTAGGCCTGAGGTAATTAAGGAGTCTGACCGCACACTGATTCATATTCAGCAACATCATCTTCAACGTTGGGCAGAACATTTTAAGGCACAGTTCAGCTTACCCCCATCAACACAAAACCTCGCAATATCTGCTTCAGCTAGGCGAATACTGCCAGTCCTCCATTTGAAATGGAGGTTACCCGGGAAATCAGTTACCTCGAAGCGTATAAGGTCTCCGCCTGGATGAGCTGTCCCCACCGGTTTTTAAGGATGGAAAATCAGCCCTTATTTGGACTTAACGAAGCTCTTGAGGACGTTCTGGGAGACGGAGAAGGTTCCAACGGAATGGTGCGAATCGGTCATCATCCCGAGTTACAATAAAAGTGACGGATATTCCTGTAAGAAAATGGTGTAATCAACGTTGTCTCTAAGCTTCTCGCGGGTGTTATAATCTGTCGATTGTTTGTCGCACGCGAACGATGGAGGCATGAGAACCAGGCTGGTTTTAAACCTAGTCGAGGTTTTATAAACCACATTTCAACCGTTAGCCAAATTCTAGAACACAGACACGCTTTTCGTAGACCCACCATCTCTGTCTTCCTGGACCTGAAAGCGGCCTTCGACTCAGTCGACCGATCTGAACTCTGGCTCTGCCTTTCCCTAAAGGATGTGCTCGAGAAGTTTATTTCAATTTTGCTATCTCTTTATATTTACAACCAAAGCTGAATTCGAGCTTAGACACTTTTTCGTCCGAGTTCACCATGGAAAGTGGTGTTCGTCAGGATTGTCCTCTCTCTCCGTTCCTGTTTAACTTTGTTATTGAATCGATTATGGAAACAGCTCTATCCTCGTGTGAGGATAGTAGCATTGATTTGCTCCCAGGCAGACTGTCTGATCTGGAGTATACAGACGACATTGTACTGCTAAGCGAAGATTCAGGTCAGTTTGAAGCGTTTCTGGATAGTTTGAGTGCTAGTTTACCCATGTTCGGTATGCGTTTTGCACTTCAGTGTTAAATGTTACTACAAGACTGGGTTGATCTAGCACCCAGCCTCACTCTAACTGGGGAAGTAATAGAGCAAGTGGATAAGTTTTGTTATTTAGGCAGCTACATCTCACCCGGTGGACGCATCACGGATGAAGTTTCAGCTCACATACAGAAGGCTCGGTTGGTATTCGCCAACTTGAGACATCTGTGGCGCCTTCGCGACATCCGGCTGTCTGTGAAAGGTCGAGTACATGCCGCGGCAGTTCGGCCAGTTCTGCTATACGGCGCAGAAACCCGGCTATTGAGAAAACAGGATAAAGACAGACTGTCGGTTTTTGAACATCGCTGTCTACGCAGCATTGCACGAATCTGGTGGGGTGACCGCGCGGGCAATGCTGATATTAGGCGCAGTGCTTTAGGTAGTCACGGTCGTCCACTGGAGCAAGTGATCGATCTCCATAGGTTACGTTGGTTGGGGCATCTGTTACGCATGTCACCATATAGTTTGCCAAGGCAAGAGATGTTTGCCGAGGCAAGTAGTGGGTGGAAGAAAGTCAAGGGTGATCAAGCTAAAACCTAGAGGTATGAAAACCCTAACCAGGAGTTCCGGACACAGGTCGCGTTAGGTTCCCTGGCTGAGGACCTCGGTATGATCGTAACCGGTGGTTATAGACACTGAGTAATGTGACTGAGTGTCGTAAACAATGGCGTTCGTGCATCCTCAATTTCTTTGCAGCCAAAGTGTACTGGAGTTCTCAATTTTCTCTTCGACTCTACTTTCATCTTTGCTGTCTTTCTCCTGCTTCACCCAAATGGGCAGCCAAATTACAGCAAACGAAACCGGCGCACGAAAGTGTGATTTTAATGGTTGTACAAACTGAAAACTGTAACCACATAAATTCTCTATCCTCCACTTGAATTCGCTTTCAGCATTCCAATCTTCATGCTGTTCTTTTATCCAAATGGGCGACCAAAAGACAGCGCACGAAAATAAATGGTTAATGGTTGTAAAAGCTGAACTGAACTGAATAATAATTAATTAATTAGTTAATAATTAATATTATAAATTATACATATCTATCACAACGAGACTGTACCTTGACGTGGTATGATGGCTTGCGTGCCTCCATGACCCTGCGAGCTACACACGTTGGCTTTTCATAGCCGTAGATTCAATCATAACCGAGGGGTCAATGGATAGAGGTCAGACAAAGCTGAGTCTCCCAAAGCTGCTTGGACACCCGGCTTCATTTGTCTATCTACTCTCGCCCACATTGTCTGCGTTACTTTATAGAGAGAGTTTTTGGTTTGCATTTTACGCCTTCACAATTTGAAATGCCCGTCCGATTAACAATGTAATCATCATCATTCTTTTCAGCTCGCGATCTGTTTATCTAAAAATGAAGGAATTGTTTGTGCAACTTCCAAAAATAGTATGTTTCTTCATGATACTCATTTACTACACCTTGTTCAGGAACTGCATGCTCATCTTTCCGGTAGCATTAGTCGTGAGAGTTTTTTCAAGTTATTGAACGATCAAGGAGAACATTCAGATAAGCAGCTTCCATTTCTTGAAGACGGAAATACAGTTCATATCTCAAAGTATGTTCAAAATATTGCTACCGTTATTCAAATATAGAGGTTTTGATTTGTTCACGATACTGCACAAAGCAATAAATTCTCCTGAACGATTAAAACAGGTAACCGTATTTCTTACTGTTCGTAATTTGTGTACGGAACTTTTTGATTGGTTTTAGAACATATAATTCGGGGTTTTTGTTGGATTCAAACGGCATTTAACTCTGTTCCATATAGCATAATCAGCTTAAACTGGTTCGCCTATCGTCCTCACATTACTTTAGTCACCCAGATTGTTGTATCCGGAAAATAACTGCGCAGATGATAAACTACAAGATTTATTCATTAATCTCAGTCAAAACAATTTAATAGCTTTGCTGTATGAGCTGTATAGACGTGTTTGCTGTCATGTCTAATGGGCTAATGCTTTGATATCTCTCAAACCATTTTATCACATCTCTTGTTAAATGGAAACGGAGCCGAAGTAGTCCGTTCTTACACACACCTTTTGGTCTCCCAAATGAAGCGATTTAGGATTTACGGTGATTCGACGAACACCAGAGGATATTTCTTGTGGATTTCCTCTACTCTTCCGTTTTCACCAAGTGCCTTACCAAATTCGAAGCGATGGAAAGTTCTTCTAAAGATAGAAGAAACTAATTGACATCGTACTAGGAGATTGAACTCGGACTAGAATATCTACCAGTCGATTTATTGAACCATTGAGGAGTTGACCCATATAATTTTCCTGTTGTCAATATCACAGAAGAAGCGCACAAAATTGATTAAGTAATGTCTTTTACTGAATGCTTATTGTAAGAAGCGATAGAGGTTTCAGAAGTAGTGACATGCACTGGCTGCAATTTCCACCTTTATTGGTGTTTTACTCTAGTAGTTATACTGATCTATCCTCACATTTGAGGATTGATTGTACGGATAGCCTATTGAGCGGGTATCTTTGGACAAAATAAAGGGAGAGAGAGAAAGGTGGTATCTTCTGACGTCCTGTCTTTGTGATGCCTAGTGTGCTCGTTTCTCACCTAGAGGGGCCTTATTTGGTTCTCTTATTCTAGTCCCTGGGCTTGAGTTACCGGTTTCCACGAATGAGCAGCAGGTCCTCGTGACTGGGGTTTACTCCTGCTGTTCATCACACAAACGGTGTATAATAAAAAGCAGCTTGTTTTAATTTAATTTAATTTACTGTATATCAATTTGCAAACAAGGGCTGGGCTCCTCTGCTTTCTGCATTGCATTAGTGCTTAGAGTGCGATAGGTTTAGCAACTTTTGTCGTTTGTTTACTGTATTATATCTCACAAAGATTACTGAAAGCAGTCCAACTTTCTTCTATTTCGCCTGTTCACCGGGCTTGGCAATTTGTTTGCAAACGTTTCATCACCNTGATGTCACCTCGGCTGGTGATGAAACGTTTACAAACAAATTGCCAAGCTCGGCGAACAGGCGAAATAGAATTCAGTTCACCCGAGCTACGAGAACCAATTTTCAATACTTAGTCAACAGTCCAACTTTCTGTCGGATTAGCAGTGTTTTAAAGTCACCAGCATCCGTGTGCTAATGGGCAAGGTGGTTATACTCTCTGTAAGTGTATTTATAGAAAGTTATGATTCGGCTTGGCAGTTGTATAAGTTGAAAAAAGACTGACTCGATTAAGTATCACTATGTTCACTTCTGAAGTTGATTTTTAAAGTGTGCTATACATGGAATCAGTGCCATTCGATATTTAGTAGTATTAGTAGTACTGATACCATTAGTAGCACCCTTCTGTCTATTCCTCTCATCAAAGTATAGTGTTGTTTATCCTGAAATATGCATTTATTTTCGAAAATGAACTTGGCGTGCTTTTCCTGTCTGCCACGGCCTTGCGGGTGAGAATTTGGCTGGCCGAAGGCTCCGGTTGTGGATTCCTCAAGAAAATTCACCTGGGCAACCTGGCAGTATTTGGCCCACATACAAATGATGCAACAGTTCTTTTTATAAAGATTATTGTACCATGATCTGTTTGGCACACAGTCCAGATTCAGAAGTGTGTAAAATTTGTCCTATTTGCGACTACCATAATTCCATTCCCCCTTCCCATTTTATTTCAGGTTGCCGTGAGCGTTGTTGAGGAGTTTGCATTAGACGGGGTTGTTTATTTGGAGTTGCGCACAACTTTACGACCGGTGCCCACCTGTCGTGACTATTTACATACGGTCATCCAAAGTTTGACCAGTGCACCCAGTGTATTAAACGAACTCATTGTTGTTCGATTGTTGGTATCAATCGATCGGGCCCGTGGTGTGGAGGAGGCACAGAAAGCTGTAGCACTTGCTATTGAAGCCGCTCACTCAAACCCTGATTTGGTGGTTGGTGTGGACCTGAGTGGAAATCCAAATGTATGCAAACATTTTTTTGTCTTATATGTTTGCTCGTTTCCACTGTATAGAATGTAGCCATTATTTATGGGACAAAGAAGTTGCACTCCTCAGAATATCTTACCGTTGTTTGTTGTATTCAGCTCATAGATACACACGTGAATGTATAGAGCAGAGTTAGGTTTTGGCTTCCCTGACATAACTATTTTGGTATCCTGGAATTATTGAAGTATTAATGGCTGAATTACACTGTTGAGGTACGATTATTTGTTTACAATTAGCTCCTTTGTTTCAATTTGAAACAAAGTTACATCCAGTTTTAAAAGCACTTTCCATCGGTGGATTTATATTCGAGTTATACCACGAGTCGACTACATGACCTTTACATTACGTCAAGGCTCTTGAATAGTATTTTAAGTTTGACCTCTAATTTCCAGACTGACATACCTGCAAATAAACCAAACTTTACCCGTTTAGTCTCACTGCTGTGTCAATTTAGGGCTGTTCACCTCCCATATTGTCTGATGTACTTGGTTGTTTTGTTCGGTCTGTAAGGGTCTGATCAAGTCCAGGTTTGTATTAGATGAGAGAATAAGTGTTAAATCAATGCAGCCTCTGTTTCGTATAGGTGTCTCCAAGATAGTTGTGGAGATCTGCTGTTCGAATGTTAAAAAAGCCTACTATCGATATTCGGCTGTATCTCTTACTGTGGCATAACGATTCAGTAATATAGTCTTGAAATAGTGTAACCAAACTAATGAGATTTTGCCTTTTGGCAGTTCTCACAGTCCGCTTTAGTCTCTTGAAGCTGGACACTTCCGTCGTGCATCTCCCCCCATTAATCACTCGTTGATGATTTCATAACCACAGTATACAAATGTACAATTTCAGGTTGGCTCATTGCTAGATTACGTACCTATGCTGAACGAGGCTCGGGCTCATGGTCTGAAGACAACAGTGCACCTGGCCGAGGTACCAGATCAATCAAGTGAATGGCTTGCTTTTCTGCGCTCGCACGTGCCCGATCGGCTGGGCCATGTAACATTTTTAACTCAGAGAGATACAACTAACGCAGGCACCGACACAGACGCCGCTCGAAAAATAGTACTGGCTGCCAAAACTCCTCTTGGTAGGTATGTGCTGCCATTTTTTGAAGTGCATGTTTTTGTACTCAAGACTTATTTTAGCGCGTGACCAAACCGATTCATATTATATTTTAGCCTAGGCCTTTTTCTATTCTATCGAACTGAGAGGAGTTGTAAGATGTGCTATTGTATGTAGTTTACTCAATAATACATTTGTTGTATCTTCGGAGTAGAAGGTACTGACTCAAGACTGAGGTAATCATGGTTGGCCGTCCCTAGTATTTGGGCACTTATGTAACGAATTATGAATCCGCAGCTCGAAGCTGTGTCAGAGTAAAATATCTGTGGTATCGACGGGGTGTCTTACTGAACTCTACAATACTTTGCCTTATGGCTGTAAGAAAGACATCCGTGGACATGTGGTTTGAGCAGTTTGACACACTTGAGATGAATCGGGCTGATCAGGATCACTGAGATGTGCCGGACAACACATCGTTGGTAGTATCTCGATGAATGAATGATTCATGGTACACCAGTTCGCTAGTAAGAACATATGCTGCAATTTCGTTGTTCTTTCATAATCAGAAGGCTACGTGGAGGCCTACACAAATGATTCGGAGATGAAGTGCGAACAATTGAAAACCGAGAAGATCCAGAAATTGGTTGACTTGCGACACCGATGAATGTGACTGGAAATTCACACCAGTGGTGATCCGTTGTCGATGCATACCCAGGTAAACTGATTAGAGAGATGCTTTTGTGCATGTATCATTTGTTCTGGTTGCATTGGTTCTCTCCAGC